TTGTTCCAAAATTTACTCATTTAAATTTCCTATTTCTAGCTTATTTAATTATTTATGTGGCCATTTACTCTGAATATTATTTTTTAACCTTTTTAGACCTAATTACATGGATCAATAGCTTAGTTATATTTTTAAAGTGTCTCGTTTCAAAAACTAATTTTTGGAAGCCCGTTAAGTAAAAATAGCGAATGCGCGTTGGAAATAATAGTCGATTTGGGGATATAATGAGGTTGAAAAATTGGAGAATTATACATTAGTCTTGAAATAGGTATTTTATGTTTAAGTGCTCAAGTATTAGTTAGTAATACTATCGTTATGAGAATTTCTTGGAAGTTTCGCCTATCGCGCTTAATTTGGAAATACGCGTTTTCACACGCACGATTTAATTGAGAGCCTTTAGACCTCATTTTGGGACAATTAAAAATGAATAATATTTACATGAATATAAGTGCATTAGAGGTTTAGTGCACTAATGAAATAAACTCGAGAGAAATCGAGTACAAAACACGCGCGTGCGCACGCGAAGGAGAGTTGACCTTTGGACTAATTTGGGCCACACATTTTAAGCTTCTCATAGAAGCATCACACCAAATCAAAACTCCTCTCTTCATCACAGCAAAGAGGCGGCTGCAATTCTTTCTTTTTCTTCCTCTAAGCAGCTGTGCACTCCACGGAAGAAAAATGCCAACAAATCTTTTCATTTCACCTTCAAATCTTCACCCAAGTCACCTCAAATTTCTCATGCAACTTGCTAATCACTTGGTGAACAACATAAGCTAGAAAAGAGGCTTGATTCTCACAGTTTTTCTCAGCTTTTAGAGGTCAAAAATTTCTGCTTAAGCCATCATCAAAGGTAATTAACGATCAAGCCTTCAAATCTTGATTTATGGAAGTAGTATTGCACTTATGAGCTTGTAATTCCTTGTGGGTAACTTTGTTTATGTTGGAAATTGTTGAGTGGGCTCTATGAACTCCCACATTGACTTGAGGACTAATTTCATGGATAATGGTGTTAATGATGTTGGTTTAGTGCTTGTTAGACTAGAAGTGGATGATATTATGTAGGAAAACTCAAAGGAGGTGCAATGGACAAAAGTGACCATTTTACCCCTGCCATGTTCATGCACTTTAGTGCGAATTTTTGAGATTCTAATGACTTTTCTATGATGTATACATGTTATATGAAGTGTGTGGAAAGTTTCATTTAAAAATAACATGATTTGGTTGGTCAAATGTGTTGAATTCCAAAGTTTATCAAATCTGGAAAATTTTCCCGGATTGCCCAGGCAGTCATTTTGTTTCGGCTATATCTTTTTACTCCAATATTGGAATCGAGTACTGTTTACCGCACTGGAAACTAGACATTCCCAAATTTCCAACGGTATAAAATGCACGTTCTGGTTCCACTTGAGTGAGCCGAACCATCTGATTAAAAATTACTGTCCTGTTTCATTGTTTTCTGGAAGGCAGCACATGAGTGGTAACTTGATGCTCATGAATGAGCTAGTTACGGACAGATTTTGAAAATTGTTTCTTCTGAGGAAATATAACCTTATGAGTCTATTTTCCAACACCACAAACCACGCTCAATTCCGAGTTGAATTGAGTGATTTATGATCAAAAGTCTAATCTGGTCTTGTGAAGGAATACCATGCATTTGGACAGATTTGAAACTAACAATGATTTGGGACTTGTTATCCGAAACTTCTTGGCATAAATCACCTATCAAGTGTACCTTGGACATATTTTAGACATTACCTACTGGAATGGACCATGTTTGAGATGTTCCTTGCCCAAAATTTTGAAACGGCAAAACGGAAGTTCAAAGGCAGCTTAGCCTTAGAATTTCTTGTGATTTCAACGGTCTTGTTAACCAATTTTTTGTACATATTTTTCCATGAAATTTGGCAAGGGAGTGACCCTTATATGGCAGTATATTCATACCAAATTTGGTGCCGTTCCGAGTCCGTTTCGATACCTAACTAAAGTCCCAAAGTTTGGAACTTAAATCTGAAAAATTGGCTTAACAGTTTCGATTTTTCACCAACTTTGAACTATCATATATTGGTGCTCAAAACTCCGATTCTTGATCCGCTTATTCTCTACTAAACCTTACTTGCAAATCTAATTGAGTTACAAATTTTAGGGGTTGGTTTGCAATGTGTGAATTTTACCGAATTCCCAAAATTAGTGAAAAACCAACCCCAACACAATCCTAAGTACCCTGAAATAGTGACTCTGAGCGCATTTTTGAATACCTTCAATTTAGAATCATGGAAAAGTGTCTTCTAAGAACTTTTAGTAATTTTGAAGAGGTTTTCAACGGTACCAAGTTTTCCAATTTTGACTTGTGTAGAGTGAGATACGATTTTTCAAAAATTCGTATCAAAACTGAAATTTCCAAAACTTAAGGGAAATGGAGTTTTTCGAATTCTCCTTATTCCTTCGATGTTACCCGAACGTTTTATACTTGATTTCAAAGACAAAAACTCGATTGCTCTTGTGTTTTGAAACCCCGTCCTTGAATCTCAATTTACGAGCGATTAGAGTTCGTTTTGAACAGATTTCCTTAGATTGTGCACTAAGTACAATCTTTTCAATAATTGGGGGTTATGAGTGATAAATCCTTGTTAATTACTCCGGTTCGTGCGAGGACCTTCAAGAGGACTCCACAGTGAACGTCTGAAGTTCAAGTGACGTTTTTTCCTTGTTTCTTGTATCGGTGAGTGTCAAGTGCATATTTATTTGAACCTCTATGACTTGATACATGTTTATATGTTACCAATGACTTGAGATTTTGAAAATGGAGGCGAGAGTGTACTTTATCACACTCGTTCTCATTTTTAATAAATGATTCATGCTAGACCTGACTTGATTTGTTTGGCCTGTCTTGGCCTACTTGACCTGATATGTTTTGACCTGTAAATATGCTATGGCTGCATAAGTCGATTAGAGTGATGTCTCGTCGATCTCTAAACGATAGCAAGTACCACATCGATTCAGGTGGGAGGTACCTCTCGAGTCGTCTCAGTACCCTAGAGCTCTGAATGATAGTAAGTACTACACCGATTCAGGTGGGAGGTACCTCTCGAGTCGTCTCAGTACCCTAAACCTCTGAACGATAGTAAGTGCCACACTGATTCGGGTGGGAGGTACCTCTCGAATCGTCTCAGAACCTTAAAGCATTCTAAGTCGATTGGAGCGATGTCTCGTCGACCTCTGAACGATAGCAAGTACCACACCGATTTGGTGGGAGGTACCTCTCGAATCGTCTCAGAACTATAAATTGAGCGATAGTAAGTACCACACCGATTCAGGTGGGAGGTACCTATCGAATCATCTCAGAAACATACATGAAATACGTGAAGTGCTACGAACTCAATTACCTACCCGGAGAAACGGGGTGTTATCACAAGAAGGTATTAAGTTGTACTTGAGCAAAGCAAGTAAACATTAGCTCCGGAGAGCTCCTACATCCTGCTCAAGGGTGTTTATTATAAATTGTGAATTTCTTGAATGTTATAGTTTTCACTATTATGTGAGTGCTATTATTATTGAATTACTTGTCTTGCATGTTTTCTTGGCCTCACGAGCATCTGTTCACTCCGTTAGATTTGTTTCCTTCACAGGAGTTGAGATGGGAGGAATTCTAGAGAAGCTCACCTGAATGCTTCATTTAATTAGACGTGTGAACATATTTGTTTAGACTTTGATTTTTGGAAATTGTATATTTTGGGAATGTAAAGTAATTGGGTTGATTATGATGTGAGACTTGTACGTTCATTAAGGAATTGACCATCCTTTACCTCTTCGATTTTTAGTATCGATTGTTTATTCCTAAATTTGAATTGAATTGTACCGAGTCCTGGCGAGAGTTGGGCAAGCGTCCCGCGGATACCCTTGGGTTCGCCCTTGGGAGAAGTGGGGGCGTTACAGTTGGTATCAGAGCTCAAGTTTCAGATCTCTGTAGTGTATCCTAGGCTTAAAAGTATAGGATGCCGGATTATGGAATTGGATTGAGAGTTAAGTGACTTCTTGTGGGAATGAAAATTTGAACCTAGGTTTGAATTAGTGGACGACAAGGAGTCTTGATCTTGTATGATACATATGGAATAGTGTGAAATGATCAAATCTAGTTTATTGAGTATACCTGGACCTACATGTGCTTTTACTTTTAAGTGTAAGCTATGAAAGGTAAGGGTGGTATTAAATTGTCTCGGGGGCACCTTTCGGTGGTCCATTATCGAGAAAGACCTAAGGGAGCATTGGAAAGATAATCCAATTCACTGAACTAGAACTTCATGTGCTTTCCAAAGGACTTGCTCACGCTTAAATGATGGAGTATCAATAGTGGTCGATCATCGAAAGTGACTATCCGAGGAAACTAGGGTAGTTCGAGAGAATAATCGAAAATCGAGGGCGATTGCGGATGCCTAGACTGCTAGAATTCCTGAAGTGGAGATTGAGATACTTGAGGAACGAGGAAAAGACAAAGGCCCCTTGTGACAAGTTTTAAAAAGCTAAGAATAGACTTGCTAGGGTAGTGCCCGAAATTAAAGATCGGATGGATAAGTCGATGGCTGGATGTGTTACCTTGGTTTATTAAGTGAAGAATGACAAGATACTCGATAAGGGACATAAGATTAAAACTCCTAGTGCTGAAAATGAAAACGATCCTATAGATTAGTAGAGACTTTTGGCTCCACCAATCGCTAAGCTAGTGACTTAGTCTACTTTAATGGTTTTGTCAAAGTGGTCGGGGTGGTGCTCGCCGTGAGGCCTTTCTGTATTTTTCTTGCAAGAACTATATTTGTGGCACTTAATTGCCTATGACCTGTATTTGATACTATTAACTCGTTGTATGCCCATCGACACGTGACATGACTTCTAACTTATGCAAATAGCTATGTTTGATTTAAAGTGTTCTTGCAATGTGTACCTATTTTTTGATTCACATGCTTATACTTTCTACTTCTATTATGCGTTTATACCCTTGTTAAATGAATCGACGAGGACATGAACGGGGGCGTGGGCATGGGATTCGGCAATCCTGCACTCCCGAGACAGGTGAGGAATCTGAGACTGGACCAAACCAAAACCCTAGAAACGAAGAGGGTGACCAAGTGGTTACAGTCATTAACCGCATGACTGATATTCTCGAGCGCTTAGCTGAGCGCCAGGGACTTGAACCAGTCGACCAACCTAGGAATCAAGAGAGATGCGAGGATAAAGCCCTCGAGCGATTCTTGAAGTTCGCTCCCCCTAAGTTCCATGGAGGGTCTAATCCCGAAATAGCGGAAACTTGGTTCGAAAGGATGGTTGATATTTTTGCTGCTTTGGATTATACCGATGAAAGGCAAGTGAATTTTGCCGTTTTTCAATTTGAAAGAGCGGCACGCTCGTGGTGGAATATTGTTAGTACAAAGTGGGAAAGAGAACAAATCCCTTGGACTTGGATAAACTTTGAGAGGGAGTTTAATGTCAAGTTTCTCCCTCCAATTATACAAGAAAAGAGGGAGGACGACTTTATTAAGTTAAAACTAGGATTATTAAGTGTGGCCGAGTATGAGGAACAGTTCACCAAACTTTTCAAATTTGCCCCTGAGCTTGTACTCACCGAGCGAAAAAGGATAAAGAAGTTTATTCAGGGGTTAAATGTAGAAATTCAAGAATCCCTAGCAGCTGCCCAGATAACCACTTTTACGGATGTCTTGGATAAGGCACAGAGGGTAGAGAATGCTAAGTCTCAATCTAGGACTTTTCATGCTAGGAAGAGGGGTAACCCAAATGATATCCCTAAACCGTCCGAGAAGTCTACTCAACCCCTTAATATGGAAAAAGGAATTGGAGGAGTGAAGGTGCTTGAAAAATCCGGAGAAACTCCGTCAAGTAAAGCCCCGCCAAAAGGAAATTAGAGTAGACGAGGTCAGCAAAAAGGGAAATTTCAAACTGGTCAATCCATGACTCCTCACGTAACTTGTGGATACTGTGGCCAGATTAACCACACTGAGGCTGAGTGCTGGAGAAAACAAGGAAAATGTTTGAGTTACGGTAGTACCGAGCACAAGTTTTCGAATTGCCCTAAAGTTTCTAAGAGAAAAGGAAATTCTCAACAACTTGCTAAATCCACGACAAACCAGTTGAGTGCCAGAAGGAGTGATTAATGCTAATGATTATAAGAGGAACCCAAGTAGTAGAAACTCTACGAATAGGAGTGAATCTAACTCCACTCGACAAATAGGGATTGTAGTTTTACCCTAGTCTAGACTAGCACCTTTAGAGGTTGCTATCTTTTGAAAAAAAAAAAGGAAGAAGTCTTTTGTCGTTTTGTATCTTGGCAATTTGACACATTTTGTTATAATCTTGTCGTTTCTCTTTGCCTTTTGAAATGATTTGATAAACCTATTCCAACTTGATGTAACTATTATGACCTTTTGTGAAACATGAAAATTTACCTTGCTTTTATTTGATTTCATGGTTTATATATATAGTTGCACTTTGCCCTACACCTTTAGATTGATAATAAGACATGAACGGTGGTAGACGTGGTCAAGATTGTGCTTGAGAGCATAGCCAAACTTGAGGTCCTGAAGGTGACTAAAGATCAGGACCAAAAATCGAGAACTTAGGGTTGAAGTTGGGATCCAAAGTTTGATCGCCAATGTGAGGCATTAAAATTGGAAGATTGGAGTTGGTGAAAGAAAACATTTGATAGATTTGATGAACCTAACAATTAAGGGACAGGATATGGTATTTGGAATGGAAGTTTGAGGTTATATATAGACTATTGAGACTTGAATAATATGACTATTAAGAACAAATATCCTTTTACTTCATATAGATGGGAGTCAAAGAGTGTAAGTTGTTGATCAATTGGATAAACCTAGCTATTAAGGAATATGATGTAATCCTGGATGTGAATTTTGAGGACGAAATTCTTTTAAGGAGGGAAGGATTTGAGGACCCGAAAATTTTCTCATTCTTATAGAATATTATTGGTTTATTTAAATATTTATTCACTCATTTTCTCCAAATAATTTATTTCAACTATTGTAAGTCCATTCGTATGGAACAATGTCCTCCTTATGTTTTAAAACGTCATGTTAGCAAATTTAATTTTTCGGAGTTTTGTTTAAGAAATAATTAGTACACATGTTTCGAGGAGATATTCTAATCGAGAGTGTATTAATATTGGAGAATTAAGAATGATAAATAGTAAAAAAAAAACGAACAAAAGGGTCAGTTGAAGAATTAATACTCGACTCATGTGAGGACTCGTAAATTTACCCATTTTAAATTCCTATTACTAGATCATTTAAATATTTAATTGCTCGTTTGCTCTAAATATTTTATTTCAACTCTTTTATACCTAATTACATAGAATTATGGGCCCACATATTTTAAAATGATTTGTTCCAAAATTTACTCATTTAAATTTTGTATTCCTAGCTTATTTAATTATTTATGTGGCCATTTACTCTGAATATTATTTTTTAACCTTTTTAGACCTAATTACATGGATCTATAGCTTAGTTATATTTTTAAAGTGTCTCGTTTCAAAAACTAATTTTTGGAAGCCCGTTAAGTGAAAATAGCGAATGCGCGTTGGAAATAATAGTTGATTTGGGGATATAATGAGCTTGAAAAATTGGAGAATTGTATATTAGTCTTGAAATAGGTATTTTATGTTTAAGTGCTCAAGTATTAGTTAGTAATACTATCGTTATGAGAATTTCTTGGAAGTTTCGCTTTATCGCGCTTAATTTGGAAATACGCGTTTTCACACGCACGATTTAATTGAGAGCCTTTAGACCCTCATTTTGGGACAACTAAGAATGAATAATATTTATATGAATATAAGTGCATTAGAGGTTTAGTGCACTAATGAAATAAACTCGAGAGGAATCGAGTACAAAACACGCGCGTGCGCACGCGAAGGAGAGTTGACCTTTGGACTAATTTGGGCCACACATTTTAAGCTTCTCATGGAAGCATCACACCAAATCAAAACTCCTCTCTTCATCACAGCAAAGAGGCGGCTGCAATTCTTTCTTTTTCTTCCTCTTAGCAGCTGTGCACTCCATGGAAGAAAAATGCCAACAAATCTCTTCATTTCACCTTCAAATCTTCACCCAAATCACCTCAAATTTTTCATGCAACTTGCTAATCACTTGGTGAACAACCTAAGCTAGAAAAGAGGCTTGATTCTCACAGTTTTTCTCAGCTTTTAAAGGCCAAAAATTTCTGCTTAAGCCATCATCAAAGGTAATTAACGATCAAGCCTTCAAATCTTGATTTATGGAAGTAGTATTGCACTTATGAGCTTGTAATTCCTTGTGGGTAACTTTGTTTATGTTGGAAATTGTTGAGTGGGCTCTATGAACTCCCACATTGAATTGAGGACTGATTTCATGTATTATGGTGTTAATAATATTGGTTTAGTGCTTGTTAGACTAGAAATGGATGATATTATGTAGGAAAACTCAAAGGAGGTGCAATGGACAAAAGTGACCATTTTACCCCTGCCATGTTCATGCACTTTAGTGTGAATTTTTGAGCTTCTAATGAATTTTCTATGATGTATCATGTTATATGAAGTGTGTGGAAAGTTTTATTTAAAAATAACATGATTTGGTTGGTCAAATGTGTTGAATTCCAAAGTTTATCAAATCTGGAAAATTTTCCCGGATTGCCCAGGCAGTCATTTTGTTTCGACTATATCTTTTTACTCCAATGTTGGAATCAAGTGCCGTTTATGGCACTGGAAACTAGACATTCCCAGATTTGCAACGGTATAAAATACATATTCTGGTTCCACTTGAGTGAGCCGAACCATCTGATTAAAAATTTCTGTCCTGTTTCATTGTTTCCTGGAAGGCAGCACATGAGTGGTAACTTGATGCTTATGAATGAGCTGGTTACGGACAGATTTTGAAAATGGTTTCTTCTGAGGAAATATAACCTTATGAGTTTATTTTCCAATGCCACAAATCACGCTCAATCCGAGTTGAATTGAGTGATTTATGATCAAAATTCTAATCTGGTCTTATGAAGGAATACCATGCATTTGGACAGATTTGAAACTAACAATGATTTGGGACTTGTTATCTGAAACTTCTTGGCATAAATCACCTATCAAATTTACCTTGGACATATTTTAGACATTATCTACTAGAATGGACCATGTTTGAGATGTTCCTTGGCCAAATGTTTGAAAACGGCAAAACGGAAGCTCAAAGGCAGCTTAGCCTTAGAATTTCTTGTGATTTCAACAGTCTTGTTAACCGATTTTTCGTACATATTTTTCTATGAAATTTGGCAAGGGAGTGGCCCTTATATGGTGATATATTCATACCAAATTTGGTACCGTTCCGAGTCCGTTTCGATACCTAACTAAAGTCCCAAAGTTTGGAACTTAAATCTGGAAAATTGGCTTAACAGTTTTGATTTTTCACCAACTTTTAGCTATCATATATTGGTGCTCAAAACTCCAATTCTTGATCTGCTTGTTCCGTACTAAACCTTACTGGCAACTCTAATTGAGTTATGAATTTTATGGGCTGGTTTGCAATGTGTGAATTTTACCGAATTTCCAAATTTAGCAAAAAACTAACCCCAACACAATCCTAAGTACCCTAAAACAGTGATTTTGAGCCCATTTTTGAATACCTTCCATTTAGAATCATGGAAAGGTGTCTTCTAAGAACTTTTAGTACTTTTGAAGAGATTTCCAATGGTATCAAGCTTTCCAATTTTGGCCTTGTGTAGAGTAAGATATGATTTTTCAAATATTCGTATCAAAACTAAAATTTCCAAAACTTAAGGGAAATGGAGTTTTTCGAATTCTCCTTATTCCTTCGATGTTACCCGAACATTTTATACTTGATTTCAAAGATGGAAACCCGATTGCTCTTGTGTTTTGAAACACAATCCTTGAATCTCGATTTACGAGTGATTAGAGTTCGTTTTCAAGAGATTTTCTTAGATTGCACACTAAGTACAATCTTTTCAATAATTGGGGGTTATGAGTGATAAATCCTTATTAATTATTCATGTTCGTGTGAGGACCGTCAAGAGGACACCACAGTGAACGTCTAAACTTCAAGTGACATTTTTTCCTTGTTTTTTGTATCGGTGAGTGTCAAGTACATATTTATTTGAACCTCTGTGACTTGATACATGTTTATATGTTACCAATGACTTGAGATTTTGAAAATGGAGGTGAAGGTGTACTTTATCTCACTCGTTCTTATTTTTAATAAATGATTCATGCTAGACCTGACTTGATTTGGTTGGCCTGTCTTGGCTTACTTGACCTGACAAGTTTTGACCTGTAAATATGCTATGACTGCATAAGTCGATTGGAGCGATGTCTCGTCGACCTCTGAACGATAGCAAGTACCACACCGATTCAGGTGGAAGGTACCTCTCGAGTCGTCTCATTACCCTAGACCTCTGAACGATAGTAAGTACCACACCGATACAGGTAGGAGGTACCTTTCGAGTCGTCTCAGTACCCTAGACCTCTGAACGATTGTAAGTACCACACCGATTCGGGTGGGAGGTACCTCTCGAATCGTCTCAGAACCTTAAAGCATTCTAAGTCGATTGGAGTGATGTCTCGTTGACCTCTGAACGATAGCAAGTACCACACCGATTTGGTGGGAGGTACCTCTGGAATCATCTCAAAACTATAAACTGAACGATAGTAAGTACCACACTGATTCAGGTGGGGGGTACCTCTCGAGTCGTATCAGAAACATACATGAAATACGTGAAGTGCTACGAATTCAATTACCTACTCGGGGAAACGGGGTGTTATCACAAGAAGGTATTAAGTTGTACTTGAGCAAAGTAAGTAAACATTAGCTCCGGAGAGCTCTTACATCCTGCTCAAGGGTGTTTATTATAAATT